CCGGAGCCCAGCAGGTCGAGGTTGTGGTGGCCGGGAGCGGCCACTGCACCCCAGTCTGGGTGACAGAGTGAGACTCCAACTCAAAAAAATAAATAAATAAATAAATAAATAAGATGAGCACTAGGAAGCGTCCAGGTGGGGCAGCTGCTTCCTCAGAACAACTCGACACCATGGGAGGGAAACACGAGTCTTTCATGGGCAGTCGGACATATCCGACGCAGACGCACTGTGGGAACACATCCAAATTTATTTAAACTTCAGAAGGCTAGTGTTCTTTTTTCTTTTTTGAGCCAGAGTCTCACTCTGTCATCCAGGCTGGAATGCAATAACACACTCACAGACACTACAGCTTCGATCTGCTGGGCTCAAGTGATCCTTCCTGCCTTAGTCTTCCAAGAAGTTGGAACTATAGGTGTGCGCCACCACGCCCAGCTAATTTTTTTGGTTTATTGTAGAGACGAGGTCTCGTCATGTTGTCCAGGTTGGTCTTGAACCCCTGGGCTCATGCAATCCACTCGTCTCTGCCTCCCAAAATGCTGAGATTACAGGCATGTGCCACCACGCCTGGCCTAATTTTTTTTAATAGAGATGAGATCTCACTATGTTACCTAGACTGTTCTCGAACTCCTGGGCTCAAGCAATCCTCCCACCTTGGCATCCCAAAGTGCTGGGATTACAGGCATGAGCCACCGCTCACAGCCGTAAAATGTAATTTTTTAAAGAACAAATTGGCTGAGTTCGGAGGCACAGCCTGTAATCCCAGCATTTTGGGAGGCCGAGGTGAGAGCATTGCCTGAGCCTGGGGTTTTGAAACCAGCCTGGGCAACTTGGTGAGACCTCGTCTCTACAATAAATCACAAAAACTACCTGGGCATGGTGGCGTTCCACTGTAGTTGCATCTACTTGGAAGGCTAAGGTGGAAGGATTGCCTGAGCCCAGCAAGTCGGCTGTGGTGCCCCTGTGCGTGCCACTGCACCCCAGCCTGGGTGACAAGAGTGAAACTCCAACTCAAAAAAAAGAGCAAAAAACCAAATTGATTACTTGTAGCAAAAAAAAAAAAAATGTGAGTGTTTACAGTATCTCTGGGTAGTAGAACTATGGGTATTTTTTCACTTTCTTCTTTTGCCCCTTTATACAACAGGTCGATATTTTACCATTAGGAGGAAAAAAGCAAAATTATTTTCAGCTTGAAATGAAAAAATTGGGCTGGGCTCGGTGGCTCAGCCTGTAATCCCAGCACTTTGGGAGGCCGAGGCAAGTGGATTGCCTGAGCCCATGGGTTCGAGACCCACCAGGGCAACTTGGCAAAACCTCGGCTCTGCAATAAATCAAAAATTAGCCAGGAGTGGTCGTGTGGGCCTGTAGTTCCAGCTACTTGGAAGATTGAGACTGAAGAATCGCTGGAGCCCAGCAGGTTGACGCTGGGATGGCCGTGAGTGTGCCACGGCACTCCAGCCTGGGCGACGGAGTAAGATTCCAGCTCAAAAAAAAAAAAAAAAAAAAAATGAAAAAAATGTAAATAAAGGGGCCTGGGGCTTAGGTGATTAGAGGCAAGTACGTGATTCAGACACCGCCTCCCAGGCCCCTGCCTGTCTGTGGGGCCTGTCGCCCAACACTCAAGTTGCTATCAGGAGCACTTTTCCCTGTCAAAGTGACTGGCTTTTGTCACCCCATGCCCGGGTTATAACGGGGAGGTAGGACGGGCCCCAGGGCAGTCAGCAGAGCCAGCCCCTCCGCCTGGGTGGGCGAGTGGGCCCGCTGGCGCTCGCCAGGCTCCAGCCTCGGCATGGGGAACACCCTCAGAGCCCTGGTGGCTTTCATCCCTGCTGACCGCTGCCAGAACTACGTGGTGGGAGACCTCCGGGAGATGCCGCTGGACAGGACGGTGGATCTGAGCGGGAGGCAGCTCCGCCGCTGCCCCGGGCACGTGTGCTCCTTCGGGGAGCTGGTCAAGCTCTACCTGAGCGACAACCACCTCAACAGCCTGCCGCCGGAGCTGGGGCAGCTGCAGAGGCTGCAGATCCTGGCCTTGGACTTCAACAACTTCAAGGCCCTGCCCCAGGTGGTGTGCACCTTGAAGCAGCTCTGCATCCTCTACCTGGGCAACAACCAGCTCTGCGACCTCCCCGGGGAGCTGAGCCTGCTCCAGAACCTCCGCACCCTGTGGATCGAGGCCAACTGCCTCCCCCGGCTGCCGGACGTGGTCTGCGAGCTGCGGCTGCTGAAGACCCTGCACGCGGGCTCCAATGCCCTGCGGCGCCTGCCGGGCCAGCTCCGGCGCCTCCGGGAGCTCAGGACCATCTGGCTCTCAGGCAACCTGCTGGCCGACTTCCCCCCGGTGCTGCTTCACATGCCCTTCCTGGAGGTGATCGACGTGGACCGGAACGGCATCCGGTGCTTCCCCAGCCTGGCCCACCTGTCGGGGCTGAAGCTGGTCATCTACGACCACAATCCTTGCAGGAACGCGCCCAAGGTGGCCCAAGGTGTGCGCCGCGTGGGGAAGTGGGCAGAGGAGACGCCGGAGCCCGACCCCAGAAAAGCCAGGCGCTACGCGTTGGTGGAGGAGGACAGCCCGGAGTCTCCGGCACCTGCCCCAGCCCCTCCTCCACTGCCTCCTCCCAACGCCTGAAGGGCTTCAGTCGCAGGCCAGGGCCCAGGACCCAACTCCAGCGCATTCAGAGAGGAGAAGGACTTCTCGGCGTCATTTGGTCTGGCTCTGCTGCAAGGGGCTGATGGAGAGCCACCCATCGCACTGTGAAGAAGGCATCCCTCCCAGAGGGAAGTTGGTGGCATGACAACCCAGGGTGACCATAACTTCCTTGCAAGAAAAAATGCAGATATTTTGAAACACGGAAGAGGAAGAAGGTAGGGACGCTTGGACCTCTGCACCGCCCAGCAGTGGCCGGCCATAAAGCCCGTGAGCTCCTCAGATAAGGCATCTGTTACAGAACTCACTGGATATTCAGGTGACCCGTCCCTTTGCAGGATGTATTTCCTTCACTGTGGATGACCATAAATGTATCACATAAATATATCACTGATGCAGGCCACTGAAAAGGACATTTCTACCTAGTCAGTCAGCCAGATTCACTGAAAAGAGCTTCTGGCGGTTGCGGAGGCTCCAGATGAAACGTTTCCCAGCAGCTCAGCGCCTGCAGAAAAGATCCTGGTGGAGAAGGCCTCGTGACGAAGTCCAGCTGCCACTTTCAACTTGACAGGGGTTCTTGCTGATTTAGTTCATCTTCCCTAAAAGGTTTGACCCGAGGTCTGCTCCTCACGGTTTCCTGTCACTGACAACGTTGGAAATCACCGGGAAAGCAGAACAGTGCGGTCTCATGACAGTCAAGCCTTGTGATCCCAGCTGCCCCCCTGGAGCAGAACCTTTCTGTTGATTCACACTAACGAACCAGGGCTGAGCGGCTCAGAAGCCCCGTCACCAGAGAAGCACATTTCCTGAACCATGAAATTAGAGGTACTAGGTGAGAAATTTGTTCACTTGAAATAAGAGCTTTGGAGTCTGAATTGCAGGCTGAAGTGGAGACAGGAAGTCTCTGCCTCTTTAGCCTCAGCATCTGCCTTTGTTCTGACTTTGTTCAAATGAAGTGTATAAACCTAGGTATTTCAGCCATTATTTTTTTTGGAAGTATGAAAACTCTGACTGTCTCATGAATACATAAACCTTAAAGAAATTGCTCAATGGATGATTTAATAATACAATTTTTTATGTGCTTGACCCTTGTCAGCAAACAAGGACACAGAAAGTGCCATTTCAACAAAAACATGTGTACTGTGCTTAAGTGCTTTTCCCATAAAAAGCTTAACTCGGCAAAGTTTGGTTCTAAAATGACATTAGGCCGAGCACGGTGGCTCATGCCTATTACCTCAGCACGTTGGGAGGCAGAGGCCTGAGACTCACTTGAGCCTAGGAGTTCAAGACCAGTTTAGGCAACACAGCAAGACCTCACCTGTATAAAAAATAAATTAACCAGACATGGGGCATGTGCTTTTAGTCCCAGCTACTCAGGAGGCTGAGGTGGAAGGATCGCCTGAGCCCAGGTCGAGGCTGCAGGGAAGCTTGATGGTGCCACTGCACTCCAGCCTAGGCAAGAGTGAGATCCCAACTCAAAAATAAATAGTGACATTACACAACAGTTTTCATGTGTATGTCTTCCTACCTGAAATATTTCTTGCTAAACCAGAGGAAGAGAAAGTTCCATGATACTGCATAATTCCTTCCTATCACCACTGCTCATTTGTGGAGTACTTGCAATCCACTGACCAGCCTGCCAAGAGGCCCCTTTAATCATTTAATGTAATAGGTTTAAAGTATAGGTCAAACATATTTAGCTCTTTTAGAAAGAGGTTCAGATTTCTATTAGACAGCTAAGATTAATAGTGTATTTTCTCAGTCTTAATAACTGAAACCAAATTATACTCAGCTGATGTGAAGTTTTGTCGACAGAGCTTGCATTCTCAGCTTCATTTGCAGCAAGCTTTATGGTTGCTGGCTTTCTTCTGATCCTGTCTCCCCCTCCCAAGATCAATAGGCCACCTTTTCCAAGGTAGCTGCAGCCTACAGCCATAAAACAGAGTGAAGCCCATTGATCCATAGAGTTCTCATCCCATGAGCTAACTAGTCTGAATCGATTGTCAAATTATAAACATTTTGGACCACGGTCAAGCTGTTTTCTTCTAAAACAATCAATACACAAACATTTCTCAAATATGGTCAAGTGTTCACTGCTGAACTTGCTTACCAAAAATGTTTTCACTATAGGTTTTCAATTTTATAAAGTATATAAATGCACATTTACATTTCTATAACCCTTCTAATGTTTTCTGGGAATGGTGACTTAATTAGAAAGTAAAACGAGCAAAATGTTGACACACCAAATACAACCTTTTTGCTCCTGATTGTTTTGAAATCCAAAGTGTTTACGCAAAGGGAAAATTTCTCCCAGAAATGTATATAGGATTTTAGCTTCCATAAATAAAGTGATACTAACTAAAATCTTTAACATGGAATTAATGAAAAATGAATGAGCAACCAAGTTTGCTTCATTTTGTTCTAAAATGCAACATCACTACAATTTGTAATTTTATATTTAAAAAGTGGGCTTGTGCCCTAAACATCACCTAAACTCAAACAACCTTAACTGAAAGCACGTATCACACAGTGACCCAAAGGTAGTGTAGCATAGTAGCTAGAAGCATGAATCCCTGGGTTCAAATCCCAGCTTTGCATTTACCATCTGTACACCTGTTGTCTTCATCAGTAAAATGGTAAATTTCTACCAATAAGGAACACCAAAAGGATTAAACCATTTACTGTGTATAAAATGCTTAGAACAGTGCCTGGCATGCAAGAATTTTACATTAGAAGTTATTTTACTAAGTGTTACACTAAGCAGCACAACATCTGTATTTACCCTACAATCAGTATGATTCCTTAAGAAAAAAAATGGCAATAAAGCAGAAACATTCCCCCCCAGTATATTTTTCAACCACAGCATCTGTACTTCTGAATATAATCCGACATGATTGCCAAAGACTCATTTTTAAATTTTTAGGTGAGGATAGTCTCTTCTGTTATTCTAGATTTCACAAAAGCACCAAAGTCCTTGAAAACATGAGTCTATTCCTTGGCACTAAACTCATTGCATGAGGAACAGGAGGCATGTGACTGAAGACATGGGTTTTGCTAGGTATTTTACGCTTTTTGCCATTGTTTAAAAAAACAAAAACATACTCCTCATAATCTCCCTTAGATAGGACACTAATATCATTAAAAAAACAACAAGCCAGGGTCGGTGGCTCAGCCTGTAATCCCACACCTTTGGGAGGCTGAGGTGAGTGGATTGCCTGAGCCCGCGGGTTTGAGACCCACCTGGGCAGCGAGACCTCATCTCTACAACAAATCAAAAAATCAGCCGGGCATGGTAGTGCATGCCTGTAATTCCGGATACTCAGAAGGCTGAGGCGGAAGGATCGCCGGAGCCCAGCAGGTCGAGGCTGTGGTGGCCAGGAGTGGCCACTGCACTCCAGTCTGGGTGACAGAGTGAAACTCCAACTCAAAAAAAAACAGGCCAGGTGCAGTGGCTCACATCTGTAATTCCAGCATGTTGGGAGATCGAGGTGGGAGGATAGCTTGAGCCTAGGAGTTGGAAACCATCCTGGGCAACATGGCGAGACCGTGTCTCTACAAAAGAAAAATCCAAAAATCCGCCAGGTGTGGTGGCACACACCTCTAGTCCCAGCTACTTGGGAGGCTAAGGTGAACTGCCTGAGCCCAGGATGTCAAGGCTGCAGTGAGCCATGACCATGCCACCACACTCCAGCATGGGTGACAGAGTGAGACTCTGACTCAAAAAAGCCCCTAAAAACAAAAACTTTGGCCAGCTCATGCCTATAATCCCAGCACTTTGGGAGACCAAGCCAAGATAATTGTTTGAGCCCAGTAGTTCAAGACCAGCCTGGGAAACAGATTGGTTTCAACCTCTTATCTACAAAAAAAATTTTAAAATGAGTTGGGCATGGTGGTACATGCCTGTAGTCCTAGCTACTCAGGAAGCTGAGGAAGGATTGTCTGAACCCAGGAATTTGAGGCTGCAGTGAGCCGTGACTGTGCCACTGTACTCCAGTCTGGGTGACAGAGTGAAATTTCTAAATACATACAAACATAAGATTAAAATTTTTCAAAAGTGTAGTTCTCTTTGATAATATCCACTTTTTCCAGTTTAAAAGCTTCTACAAATATTCAAATATTAAGACAAACTTTTAGATGCCCAACTCCCTCCCAGCCACCCCCAGCAAAGAAACAGGATTGGTGCTTCAGTATTTTAAAATACTTTGCTCCTAGCCAGATGTGGTGGCAAACGCCTGTAGTTCCAGCTACTTGGAAGGCTGAGGCAGAAGGATCACCTGAATCCAGCAGGTCAAGGCTGTGGTGGCTGTAAACATGCCACTGTACTCTAGCCTGAGCAACAGAGTGAGACTCCAATTAAAAAAACAAAATAAAAATAAAATACTAGCTGGGCTCGGTGGCTCAGCCTGTAATCCCGTGCTTTGGGAAGCTAAGGTGAGAGGATTGCCTGAGCCCGCGGGTTCGAGACTTGCCTGGACAACTTGGTGAGACCTCACTTCCACAATAAATCAAAAAATTAGCCGGGCGTGGTAGCGCGCACCTGTAGTTCCAGCTACTTGGAAGGCTGAGGCGGAAGGATCACCGGAGCCAAGCAAGTTGATAGGCTGCAGTGGCTGGGAGCAGCCACTACACTCCAGTCTGGGTGACAGAGTGAGACTCCAACTCAAAATAAATAAATAAATAAATAAATACTACGGGAACGTCCCTCTGATGTCAGCACAGAGATTTTCAGGAAAAACTCAAAACCTACTGTTGGACTTTCTCCTATTTCTTGTGCATTTTGCTATACACTAATGTATCAATAACCTCCAAATCTAAAGTCACCTTTAAGCCATCAAACTCAGTACATACTTATGCCCTTCCTCATTCTCATCCATTTACCAAAAACAAAAAAAAAGCCCTAAAACAAAATCAGGTAACAATGCGTGAGTCTAACTGTACTCTTAAGAGAATATCACCTTACAAGGCACTGGTACTTACAGCACCTTATCCTAACCAACATTTTAAAAAGGATTTTCAAACTTAAAGTAACAGAAACCATCATATTTTTTCCAACATAAGAAACAGCACTTGGACTATACCAAATTAATAAGCACTACAGTTTACAGCACTTTCACTACACAAAATTAATGAATAGTAAAACTTATACATAATTAAGTATATTTATGACCCAGCAACAAAACCAAAAACTTCAAGTATGGTGTGTTTATCACATTTGACTTGGGCTTATATTAATCAAGAGAATTATTTTTAAAATGAAGGGCAATCATTAATTAGGCTAGAACAACTCTATACCGAAAATATAATCATTAGTTTCCATTAAGAGTTCAAACAGAGTACACACAAATCAATAAGACATAAAAACGAAATAACTATTCAAATTTTTATTTTAATGAACTTTTAAGTCAACTGAATTTTATGGAAAAATGACACGGCAAATAAATTAGACCCATGTTAAAATAAGAGGTCACTTAAAAGTCAAACTTAGGATATAATGGGCACAGATAAACACAGATTCCACAGTCTTCTTTAAGAGTTTGACATCTTTCAAATGTAACTTTGCTATGAACTGGTCCAGAGATCAACAGCATACGGGAATGTTTAACAGGGGTGGTGATCAGGGACACGTTTCCTATGAAGAAAAACATGCATTTAAGAAAAAAAATCAATAGTGAAAAATGAAAAGAAGGATTTTAACAAAAGTTTTATAGTAACTACAACACAACTAGAATCCTACTTTTATTAGAACCATTACAACTCAATTATGGTTTGAATGTACCCTCTAAAATTCAAGCAGACGCAATCTCCAACATGGCAATATTGGAGGTGGAGCCTTTAAAGGGTGGTTGAGTCACGCCATGGATTAATGGTTCAAATGGGAATGGAACTTGTGGCTTTTATAAGGAGAGACCTTAGCTAGCACTCAGTCCCCACCACGTGATGCCCTGCTCCACCTCAGGACTCTGTCCCACCTCAGGACTCTGCAGACAGCCCCACCAACAAGGACCTCACCAGATGCAGCCTTCTCAACCTTGAACTTAGCCTCCACGACTGTAAGAAATAACTTTAGTTTCTCATAAACTACCCAGCTTCAGGTATTGTTACAAGCAACAGAAAATGGACTAAGACAACCCAATTTTCCGTGAGAAGGATATTTCTACCTCATGACTAACTTTCTTCAATTACTATGTTATTTGCAAGAGAACATGAGCAAATACGTGAAACGTGAAGCCTGCAGGTATTTCACAGTTCTCAAGTTCTCATCCTACTTCACAAAGATGAATTCTCCAGAAAAAGGTTAATTGATGTGTTTCTGACTTATGTGTGTGTTAGGGAAATTTACGAAATTAATCAAAGACAATTACTTTTAACGAGAGGTTGCAAAGTGCCAAGACCCTGGGACTTCTAGATGAAAATCTCTGGATTGCTATTCCAAATGAATAAAACCAACTGTCAAAAAGTAAGCTGGTGACTGGGCAGGGTAATACACTAATAACCACCAATATTCTCTCTCATATCTTTTATTCTTCAGTGACCATATAGTAAAGGGGCACAGAACAATCTTTTGGGAAGAAGAGGTGGATGATAAGATACTAGTACTTTTTTTTATTTTTTACTTTTACTTAATGCTTGTTCAAAAGCTAAAACTTGAGAAACTGCTTCTGGAGGCAATCACAACAGTTAGGGGAAGTCGAAAAGGACTAAGAACAGACTCAAGGATTCCAGTATGATACTAGGATCATATAAAGAGACAAACTTCCACCCTCAGTATTATGGGAAACTACAATGCTAACCCCATTGTCAAAAGTTTCAAGCAGCTGTCAAAGGACACTGACCTGAAAAATGAATACTCTGAAGGTTAACAAGGAGTATGGGAAAAAAAAGGCCACAGTCCAGTAAGTTTGGGAAGGCTGAGTTTAACAAAATTATTCATGTTTCTTTACTGCAAATTACTCAGAATTTCTAATATACTTAAGACACCTAAGCCTGTAAAACAGTATTAAATTAAATAAGGTCTGATATTATTATATAATTTTATAAGTGTTATTTCAAATGTGTTTGAGGGCCCTGAGTTAGTGTCAGGATTTCTGGGAGGAGGTGTGGTTATGACCTTGCCCCCAAGTCAGAAGACTTGAGAGAACTGTTTCCTTTTGCTATCATTAGCTAAAGATAACAGAAAGCATCACAGCATTCTATCATTCTGAGAAAACTTTCTGTCAACTTTTCCCCTTAACAATATTCAAAATACAGAATGCTCCCCATTATGCCACCCTCCCAATATCATCAGCAGAGAATACATATATTTTCAGCCCCATTCTCCTTCATTACACCACAGTAGATTTGACTACCAGAGTTCTTTCCTCTCCATACCCAAATCTCGACTTCCTACTCAGATGACTCCCCTGTGCTCTCATCTAAACCAACTCCTCCTCCGGTCCTCTGGACTCCATTTACATTCTTTCAGGTGTGGAGTGGACTGCTCTCTTCTGCATGTTATTCCTTTTCTCAACTAAGTCTCTCCCACTTATATGCCGAGTCTTCACAGTAGCCTCATACCTCCCTCTAACTACTACTCCATTTCTCTGCTCCCACTCACAACAAACTCCTGAAAAAGTGGTCTACAAACACTCAGTCTCATTTTCCTTTCCCTGATATCTACTAAACATACTTCAACCTTCTGCCCCCTTCACTCCACGAACACCACTTGTCAAAACTACCGATGGCTTCTCTATGTTGCTGAATCCAATCTTCAAGGTAAATGTTTAGCTCTTATCTTTCTTGGCCTATTCTCGTCATTTTGGCAGTTGATCACTCCTCTCTAAACATCTTCTTCATTTAATTTCTTGGTTTTCCCACCTCACTGGCATCCCTTCCCCATCTTAGAACTTTATATTACAAAAAATTTTCCAATGCATGTAAAAGCAGAGCAATTAACTGTGTAATGAATCCTCATATACCTGTCACCCAGTTTTAACAATCTTCCATACATGTACATTTCTTAATGTCCTCTGCTGGTTGCTCTGAATCTTTCCAAATGGACACAGGAATTCTCTAGCACTCAATCCTTAAAGCCTCCTCTCTTCTTTAGCTATGACATTTACTTTTGGAGACCCAAATAGTCTCCTAGTTTTATTTATTTATTTATTTAGAGTTGTAGCTCACTCTATTGCTTAGGCTGGAGGTCAGTGGCATGCTCATGGCCACTGCAGCCTCAACCTCTGGGCTCTGGTGATCCTTCCACCTCAGCCTTCCAAATCGCTGGAACTACAGACATGAGCCACCATGCCCAACTAATTTTTTGATTTATTGTAGTGGTGAAGTCTCGCCAAGTTGCCCAGGCTGGTCTCGAACCCATGAGCTTGGGTAATCCTCTCACCTGTCTCCCAAAGTGCTGGGATTATAGGCATGAGCCACCACGCCCAGCTAGTCTCCTTGTTTTAAAATACCACATACAGACTGACAACAACTACATCTCTAACTGGGGCTTGAATTTCTGCCCTCAACTACCCAACTCTCCAACTGCCTTATCAGCAGACACCTGCATGTCCAAAAGGGAAATCCTGTCTTCCTCTCCTCCTCTTCTCTACTTAGCCTTCCCCATCTCAGATAAGAGAAATTCTTTTTTCTCCAAACACTCTGAATTATTCCAAATTCTTTCCTCTTACACCCTACTTCCAACCCATAAACAAACACTGCTGGTTCTACCCTTAAACTAAATCCATCATCAATTCCTTCTCACCACCTTCTCCATTATTTCCTAGTCCAGGCCATCATACTCTCCCGTCTCCCTGAAGTACCACTAAGAGTTCAAATGAATGGTTTTGGTAACTACTCATAAAAACAAATATTTTTAATTGAATCTTCAAAAGTTAAGATTTCTGGTCACTTAACCATTTTTGTATGCATGTTTTTTTGCTTTTGTTTCCTTTGGTTTAGAGTCTCATTCTGTTGCCCAGGTTGGAGTGCAGTGGCATGCTCACGGCCACTGCAGCATGGACCTGCTGCGCTCACATGATCCTTCCACCTCAGCCTTCCAAGTAGCTGGAACTACAGGCCACACCACCATGCCCAGCTAATTTTTTGATTTACTGTAAAGATGAGGTCTCGCCAAGTTGCCCAGGCAGGTCTAGAATCTCTGGGTTCAGGCAATTCTCTCACTTCGGCCTGCCAAAGTGCTGGGATTATAGGCGTGAGCCACTGCGACTGGCATGTTTTCTAAGAAAAGCTACTGAAATAGAAAGATGTAAGAAACCGTTCACATCACGTGCTTAGCCCCCAAGCTCCCTGGTACTTGACCTTTCCAGGGTTCTTTTTTGTGCCCTTTCAATCCTGAAAGCTATCCTGGCTGCCCATCATTTTTTTCCCCTAAGTTCTTCTGGTTTAAATGTAACAGTTGATTACATATTTTAAATGACTTACATAAGACTTTTATCTAGGCAAAAATGTCTCCACTTTCCCTTAACTATAATTATCAAATAAGTACAGTCCCTAATATTGTTTCAGTGTTCTTAATTTTTAGAAGTGTTGCAATACCTTGGTGCTGCTTTGATGATGTTGTCTACACGTAGAATCACCTCTGCTGCTTCAGCTGCACTCAAAAGAACTTGTCGTTTCACTTGAAAACTTTCTGTTATACCCAATGTAGCCATATCTCCAATGGTACCATCCCTCATATCTGAAAAGAAAGTGTTCACAAAAAGTAGTTGTAATAACTGAAGTATCAGAACATCTCTATAATTTGTTAAAAATAAAAATCCTAGCCGGGCTCGGTGGCTCAGCCTGTAATCCCGCGCCTTTGGGAGGCTGAGATGAGTGGATTGCCTGAGCCTGCGGGTTCGAGACCTGCCTGGGCAGCGAGACCTCATCTCTACAATAAATCAAAAACTTGGCCGGGCGTGGTAGTGCATGCCTGTAATTCCGGCTACTCGGAAGGCGGAAGCGGAAGGATCGCTGGAGCCCAGCAGGAAAGGCTGCGGTGGCCAGAAGCGGCCACTGCACTCCAGTCTGGGCGACAGAGTGAGACGCCAACTCAAAAAAAAAACAAAAAAACAAAAAACAAAAAAATTAAAAAATTAAAAAAATTAAAATCCTGATTGTTATTAATAAAATTGCAACACCCGACTATTTTAGTAAGCTGATCAGTCTATTAATGCACTCAAGGAAAGTCTTATAAAAAATGTAAAAAATCAACTATTGATCACCCATATTAATAAAGGGCAACAATGTCAAGTAACAAAAAATTACACCAGATGTTAGGATAATAATCTCCTATCTATCTTTATTTGTACCTACCTATGTAAAATTATTGCAAAAAATTTGCTCACCACCAACTATAACTATAGAATCTTAAGAACTTGAAGATGTTGGGTGGAGTGGTTCACATCTGTAATCCCAGCACTTTGAGACCAGCCTGGGCAACACAGTGACCTTGTCTCTACAAAAAATTAGCCAGGTATGGTGGTATGCACCGGTAGCCCCTGCTACTCAGGAGGCTGAGGTGGAAAGATCACCTGAGCCCAGGAGATCAAGGCTGTGATGAGCCACGTTTGTCCCACTGCTCTCCTGAACAACAGAATGAGGCTCTGACTCAAAAATTTTAAATAAAATAAAATAAGAAACAAAAAAAGGGACTCGAAGAATATTTGGAAGTCATCTATCCAACTTTTCTTGTGATAATCCTACTTCATTTTCTAACAAATCATTAATGGGCTTTCTTGTTCAGTGACAGGATTATCTACCTTAAGACTATTACTATAATGTCCTGCACAGCTTGTCAGATTTTTCAATCCAAACTAAATGTGCCTCATTGGCCATTTATATCTATGAATTGAAGATCTGTGCTCAAGAATATAGCAAAGTTTGCTATGAAATTAAAAAAAAAACACTAATTGTATAAGAAACATATAGTTGTTTATACTCTTTTCAGAATATATATACTGTTTATGTATTTCAGTCCTAGTCACTATGTACCCAACTAGTTAAAACCTTCTGACTAGGCAGGATGCGGTGGCTCATGCCTATAATCCCAGCACTTTGGGAGGATGAGGTGAGAGGACTGCCTGAGTTCATGAGTTCAAGACCACCCTAGGCAACTTGGCGAGACCTCATCTCTACAATAAATCAAGAAAAATTAACCAGATGTGATGGCACACACCTGTAATTCCAGCTACTTAGAAAGCAGAGGTAAAAGGATCACTTGAGCCCAGCAGGTTAAGGCTGCAGTGGCCGTGAGCATGCCACTGCACTCTAGCCTGGGTGAAGAGGGAGACTCTAGCTCAAAAAAAAAGAAAAATCTTCTGACTAGATTTTTTTTTTGTCTTGGGCCAGGCGCGGTGGCTCATGCCTATAATCCCAGCACTTTGGGAAGCAGAGTCACCCAGCCTGGGCAACTTGGCAAGACCTCATCTCTACAGTAGGTCAAAAAACTGCCAGGGGAGGGATGTGCATACCTCGACAACAAGGGTACCTGCATAATGAACATTTGTATACCTAACCTTGAATTGTACCCATCTTTAAAAAAAAAAATTAGCCGGGGGTGATAGCATGCGCCTGTAGTTCCAGCTACTTGGAAGGCTGAAGAGGAAAGATTGCCTGAGCCCAACAGGTGGACGCTGCGATAGTCTGAGCATGCCCTGCACTCCAGCCTGGGAGACAGAATAAGACTCCCACTCAAAAAACAAAAATAAATAAATAAATAAATCTTTATCTTGTTTGTTTTTACAGGTTGGCAAGTAAATTACATGCTGCTAAATTACCTGCTCATGAGACTTTCCATAAAATATTACTTTCTTTTTTTCCTTCATTTTAAAGATGTGAAATACAAATCAGGATTAGGTACATAGTCTACATGCAGGTGAAGTTTGGGCCTCCAACTTCCTTCCCCTGGTTTAGGATCAGGTATCTTTAGTGATATTACAAGCAACCTCCTGCCCCACTCCCCTGTGGCAGTGTCCCAGTACTGCCGATCCCTCTCTTGTAGTATTGTGATAAAAATCTAACTAGTTTTATACCTCTTCTGGAATATCAAAGTTTGGGAAGTGTTGAAACTATGAAGTTTGACACATTTTCCGATCATATATAATGGTTACAAAGACAAGGGCCACAAGAATGTTTTCCAAACAAAAGAAAAAACGTGGTGAAGAGCATTACTTTAACAATATCACAACGTTCCCCTGACACGTACCCAGTCCAGCAGTTGTACTGCCTTCGCTGTGAGCAGCCCGGAGCTGTGCCACCAGATCTGCACTGTCATAGCCTGCGTTGTCAGCTATGATAGTTGGCAACTATTAAATGAAGAAAACAGATAATTACCTACTATAAAGACCACTGATTTACTCCTAACTATAGGGACAGCTTTTCAAAATTATACATTTAGAAACAATATAAAATCTGCTTCCTTTTAACTAATGCTCATAAAAAGAACAAACTCCAGAATCAAATTTAAAAATGGATTTGACAAGTTCATTTTCTTATTCATTTAAAAACTATCAATACCCACAAAGTTTAAGTTTAGATTTCTTAATTTTATTAACTTACCATTCTCAGTGCTTTAGCATATGACTCCATTGCAACAGCTTCTTTGCCTGGTGTTCTATTGGCAAGCTTTGTCACAGCATGAGCCATCAACATCTCAGAACAGCCTACAGGTTAAAATTTCAATAAAATATAATGCTTAAACTGGGCCCGGTGGCTCAGCCTGTAATCCCGCGCTTTGGGAGGCTGAGGTGAGTGGATTGCCTGAGCCCGTGGGTTCGAGACCTGCCTGGGCAACTTGGCGAGACCTCATCTCTACAATAAGTCAAAAATCAGCCAGGCGTGGTAGCGCGTGCCTCTACCTCCGGCTACTCGGAAGGCTGAGGCGGAAGGATTGCTGGAGCCCAGTAGGTCGAGGCTGCAGTGGCTGGGAGCGGCCACTGCACTCCAGTCTGGGAGACAGAGTGAGACCCCAACTCAGAAAAAAAAAAATACGTATATATATAATGTTTAGTTGTCTCCAGCATACTGGATCACTGGCGTCCCTTACTATATGTCAAACATTTTAAAAATTAAGTACCAACGCAATATAGAATGACTACAAAAGAAATCATTAAAACCATGTATGATTTATATTTTATTTGATGAAATAAAACGTTCAATATTTTCCAAATGCTTACCTCCTCCATAAACTGTCCTAGAATCCTTCACAGTTTGGGCAAGAACACAAAGGGCATCATGCAAAGATCTTTCTGCTTCATCTAAAATTTGTTGAGTGGCACCACGCAAAACAATAGTACAAGCCTCACCTGAAGTTAAAACACAATACTGTTATGTCATAGGTGACCACCTAGTTGTAAAACATAAAAGTCTGTCATCTATTTTTTATGTAAGTGTTGGTTATATTATTGGGTTTTGAAAGCTGACATGTCTTCCACTGTTGTATATTCTCCTTCCTAATGATTCTAAGTTATCAAGAAAAAAACTATGTTGAACATGCACTATTCACAAAGGAACAGTAAAAATGAAGCAGAACTAAAATCAGAAAAATAAACACATATCATGCTTTTCAAGAGTTGAGACTTATAAAATAACATATTCTAGTAAAAACAATAATTTTCTTTAACTTCAATAGAGCCTAGCAAGAATTTAGGCACCTTATCCAGAAGCTACATAATCTCTCACCAAGAGCAACCCCAGAAAAGTGAATAAGTTTATCTTCTCCAATCATAACTTCCTCAATAAGTTTGCAACTTCCAAGCTTCACCAGTTCTGGGTGATCAAAGGTAGAGGCAATTTCACCACCTGTAAACATAAACTTGATATTAAATACATGACAGGTTTAAAATCTCTGTTTTCTAATAAGTAGTAACAAACAGTTACCATGTAATGGATACCTAACATTTTAAACACTAATTACTTATAATATGCCAGGCACTCTTTTTAAGCACTTCATAAGAATTGGCTAATTGTATAATCACAACACACTTCTAAGATAGGTTTTATTATGATGCCATTTTTTACATGATGAAAATGAGGCAAGGTTACATAACAAGGACAAATTTGAAGTTAGAATTCAAACTCAAACAGTCTATCTTCAGACCTGTATGTACACACTGTGCAATGCTACCTCCTAAAGGTTAAACTGAGACTTAAAACAGTTATGTTAAGCCGGGCACAACGGCTCACACCTTTAATCCCAGCACTTTGGGAGGTCAAGGTGAGAGGATTGCCTGAGCTCTCAGGTTTGAGACCAGCCTGGGCAACTTGGCGAGACCTCATCTCTACAATAAATAAAAAAATTAGCAGGCATGGTGGCACGTGACTGTAGTTCCAGCTACTTGGAAGGCTGAGGCAAAGGGTCACCTGAGCCCAGCAGATCGAGGCTGCAGTGGCTGCAAGTGTTCCACTACACTCTGGCCTGAGCAACAGGGTGAGACTCCAACTCAAATTGAAAAAAAACAAAAAACAGTTACCTGTAAGTCTGAATTTTAATTCAGATTCTCTTGAGTCCAGTCTAGAAGACTAAACTCTATGATACAATTCCTAGCACAAGACATGAAAATATCTGTCATACTATATAAACAACCGTATACTTTATGAACTGCTTAAAATGAGAATCTGATATCTCTACTACAATAACTGAAAGGTCACAGAGACCCAATAAGGTCAAGAAAAAGGAGAAAAGAGAACTAAGTGTTACTTAATGAGTTATCAAAACAGTATATTCATTTTAATCCTTATGCCTTTTTTCTATTCCTATTTGACCTCCATCTTTCATGCTGTAAACTGAGAATAGCCACTTTATTTCCTATCTAAGCAAAAGTTAGGTTTCCATTTCAAAATCCTTTTCTCCAGTTGGACTACTCTGTTGATAATGTGGAGTTCAACCAGTGGAGTGGTTCACACCTGTAATCCCAGCACTTTGGAAGGCGGAGGCAAGAGGACTGCCTGAGACAAGGGGTTTGGTTTGAGACCAGTCTGGGCAACTTCGCAAGACCTTGGCTCTATAGTAAATCAAAAAATTAGCCTGGTGTGGTGGTGCATGCCTATAATCCCAGTTACTTGGAAGGCTGAGGCAGAAGAATCAGCTAAGCCCAGCGGGTAGAGCCTGTGGTAGCTGTGAGTGTGTTGTTGCACTCCAGCCTGGGCAAGTATGAAACTTTGCCTCAAAATAAAAAAAAATAATAACAACAATAACATGGATTCCATTAGTCAACCCTCTTTTCCTGTTTCTTACCTATAAATCTGCTGAATAATCAATGCTCTATTATCTTTCAAAAGTCTTCTAATTACTAATTTATTCTAATTTTATAAAGTTCTTTTTACTTTTGATTGGGAAAATTCTAAGGCAGTTTTTTGTTCTAGACATGAAACACAATAGATTGAGATGTCATAACTAAAAATGAGCTTAACTTAGCTTATGACAATGTTTATTTCATCCTTCTATATCTGCTTAAAAGCTACTTTTCTTTTTTAAAGAGGCAAAGTCTCATTATGTTGTCCAGACTGGAGTACAATGGCTATTCACAGGTGCAATCAGCTCACTACGAGCCCAGGTTCCTAGGCCCAAGCAATTCTCCTGCCTCAGCCTGCTGGGAACCTGGGACTATTGTAGGCATACACCACCACACCTGGCACAAGACACTTCCTGACACTTGCAAGAACCAATGTCATACACCTTGACAACTGAGCTGCTAAGGATGGGAGCCATCATGGAGTTAACTTCATAGCCATACCATGGTATACTTAGTGCAGTAAACATTCTTCTGGGTATATGTAGCAATTTCGTGTGCCAAGTCCTTATGTTTATCTCATGAACGTGTTATCATTGACATTGATTTGTATTCTGTAACGCTAAAGGATGAATTACATAAACATGAGCATGAGAAACTGTGGGCTAGGCGTGGTGGCTAATGCCTATAATCCTAGAAATTTGGGAAGCCAAGGTGAGAGGATTGCCTGAGCTCACAGGTTTGAGACCAGCTTGGGCAGCTTGGCGAGACCTCATCTCTACAATAAATCAAAAAATTAGCTGGGCGTGTGCCTGTACTCCCAGCTACATGGAAGACTGAGGCAGAAGGATCACCTAAGCCCAGCAGGTAGAGGCTGTGGTGGCCCATAAGCGTGCTACTGTACTCCAGCCTGGGTGACAGGGTGAGACTCCAACTCAAAAAACAAAACAAAACCAAGAAACTTTTGTGTCACTTAAAGCATCAAGTAAGCAACAGCTTTTAAACAACTTTAAAGCAGGTAAGCCTAATTCAAAGTAATTAAAGAAATCTATCTTTAGAGGTCAAAAGAGTATGTTCCTCAAATTATAAAAAAAAAAAATGTTGTACGAAACCATTCTAGGATGAGATGAAATCCACTCTCCAAATGTTAGTACACTTTCCTTCTAATACTCATGGCAGTTACCAAATGAATTTGACAGCCCTAGTGATATCATAGCTCAAAACCCAGGTTTCCTTCTTATTCCCAGATTTGAAACCAACTTTCCAACCTATATTTTCAAGGGCCTAAAATTTAGATAAAGGTTGTTAAACTTAAGTTTTTCGGCTGGGCACAGGAGCTCATGCCTGTAAACCCAGCATCTGGGAGGCAGAGGTGAGAGGAGTGCCTGAGCCCAGGGGTTCAAAACCAGCCTGGGCAACATGGCGAGACCTCATCTCTACAATAAATCAAGAAAAACTGTGTGTGCTGTATGATGGCACAGACCTATAGATCCAGCTACTCAGAAGGTTGAGGCAGAAGGATCACCTGAGCCCAGCAGGTCTAGGCTGCAATGACTGTAAACATGCCACGGCACTCCAGCCTAGGTGACAAGTGAGACCCAAAAAAACAGCCAGGCTCGGTGGCTCAGCCTGTAATCCCGTGCCTTTGGGAGGCTGAGGTGAGTGGATTGCCTGAGCCCGCGGGTTCGAGACCCACCTGGGCAGCAAGACCTCATCTCTACAATAAATCAAAAAATCAGCTGGGCGTGGTAGCGCATGCCTGTAATTCCGGCTACTTGGAAGGCTGAGGCGGAGGGATCGCCAGAGCCCAGCAGGCGAGGCTACGGTGGCCGGGAGCAGCCACTGCAGTCCAGTCTGGGCGACCCAGTGAGACTCCAACTCAAAAAAAAAAACAACAACTTAGTTTTTCAAGGGCTAATTAGAAATTAGTATAAAAACTATTAACAAAACTGTACATGTACTCCCTAAATCTATAAAAATAATTACTTTTAAAAAACCATTACAACAAAAAGTTGCTTTTTTATTATAAGAGACAGCAGGGTCTTACTCTGTAGCCCAGGCTGGAGTGCGTGGCGTATTCAGAGTTCACTGCTGCCTTGAACTCCTGGGCTTAGGCAATCCTTCTACCTCAGCCTCCTAAGAAGCTAGGACTAAAGACGTGCACTACCATGTCCAGATAATTTATTTTTATTTTTCGTGAAGATAGGGTCTCGCTATGTTGCCTAGACTGGTCTTGAACTCCTGAAATCAAGCAAACCTCTCATCTTCGCTGCTCAAGTCACTAGGACTACAGGCATGAGCCACAGCACCCAGCCTGCACTGTGTCCATTTTGATGCAGACAGACATACCTGATTTATTTATTTATTTATTTTTTGAGTTGGAGTCTCACTCGGTCGCCCAGCCTGGAGTGCAGTGGCCGCTTCCGGCCATCGCAGCCTCAACCTACTGAGCTCCGGCGATCCTTCCGCCTTAGCCTTCCGAGTAACCGGAATTACAGGCATGCACTACCACGCCTGGCTAATTTTTTGATTTATTGTAGAGATAAGGTCTCGCTGCCCAGGCGGGTCTCGAACCCGCGGGCTAGGCAATCCACTCACCTCAGCCTCCCAAAGGCACGGGATTACAGGCTGAGCCACTGAGCCCGGCCATACCTGATTTATAAACACAATTTCTATTTGACACAAATAAGATTTTATTACTCATACTTCCATGGAAAGAAGTCCAAATATACTAACTTTCATCATACACTGTTGAATTGTATCACTTATTCCAACATTACTTACAGAAATTTAAACAAATTAACTCAAAGCAATGTTTAAAAGTACAAGTTAAGTACTTGACCCACTCTCCAGCATAAAGTAAGCATTCAAAAAAGGTTACTATTACTACTGTTCTACTACTCAGAACACAATGCATTCAACCCCTCACTCGGCAACAGAAATAAGTAAACTAGAAAAAGACAAGACTTAAAAACTCCTTTTTAAAGCTTGTGATTATTCAGATTACGTTTAGATCAATGGTCTTATGGGATTTGTGAGGGAAAAAAAATCTAGTATCTTTAAAACAATAAACAACAAAAATCTGTATCTATGGCAAACCTGGTAGATAATTTGATATATGAAAAATAATGTAACTAAATTAAAGGTATCCAAAAGTACGTATCAGATTTCAGAGCAACTTTAGATTCTAAGCTCCTTAAAAAGTCTTCTTGGCCGGGCGCAGTGGCTTAAGTCTATAATCTCAGCACTTTGGGAAGCCGAGGTGAAAGGATTGCCTGAGCCCGCGGGTTTGAGACCAGCCTGGGCAACTTGGTGAGACCTAGTTAAATAAAAAAAAACCTAACCAGGCATGGTAGCGCGCACCTATAGTTCCAGCTACTTGGAAGGTTGAGGCAGAAGGATTGCTGGAGCCCAGCCGGTCGAGGCTGCAGTAGCCGGGAGCAGCCACTGCACTCTAGTCTGGGTGACAGAGTGAGACTCCAACTCAAAAAAAAAAATTAAAAAAAATCCAAGTGTGACTGCTATGTCTGTTAAAAAAAAAAAATGCCTTGTTTCCATACCTGTGACAAGAGCTAGACGTTCCACACCTGCAAAATCTGCATGCTCAATAGCCATGACACCAGCAGCACCAAAGAGCTGTTCAGGATAATTATAAATTAACTGCCTGTAAATAAAATACATAAAAACATTATGTCCAAAACTGTCATTCACAAGATAAACTACATTAGACTAAAAAAAAATGACATTTTCACCACATCAATAATCAAAGAATTGCAAATTAGAACAAAACAGCATTTCTCATCTGTATAATTTACAAATTATAATATTAATGCATCCATGTTAGCACTGAAAACAGGTGTTGTTATAGTGACTGTGTAAACTGGTCTCATAACTCTGGAAAGCAATTTAGCAGTACTGCATCAAAAACCTTATCTACATTTATGTGCCTTAATTCCTGGGAATCTACAGCAATAAAATTAAATAATTTTTATATTTAACAGTGAATCTTGCCAGTGTCTTAAATGTCCACTAGAAGTGCGTGTAAATCACAAATTCCTGAATAAGTTATAAAAATCTGTAATGTAAGTAAAATTACGTATTGCAGTTCCTAAATAACAAATCACTATTCCAATATAAGTAATTCAGTATAAAGTACTTACACAAACTTTCATAGAAAAAAATCTTTTCTTAGATTACAAATATTGTTAGCACAAGGACAGACCTGTTAATAAAGCAATTTATTCCATGCTTAAGAATACGTTCAACTTTCTCCTTCATTTTTTCCTTTTCCGCGTGTTCTATTTCTGCAACCTTTGCTGTAGAATCAACTCTTACTCGAGAACCAAATATCTACGACAGAGAAAAGCATAGAGCATGTTTCATTACTCTTAGAGTCCTGCAGCATATTTCCACATTTTTATCAACATATATATCTAAAAGAATACATATATATGTACTTGTTATTTACATTCATATATTTCAAGCTTTTTAGCATAACTGATTCCTAACCAGAGTTTATAGAAACCAAGAATTAAAATTTCAAGAAATGTAGTTACACTCACCTTTATTTTGTCTGTATCCATTCCAGTATTTGCAATAAGAATTTTAGCATTTTCAATTCGCTTTGGTTGATTTACCCCAATTTTTTTATCCAACAGAAAGCCTACAATAAATATAAGGATAACACTGAATTAAATACTTCAAGGCTACATTAGTAAATCTTACAAAGCTATCTGTTTTACCAAATTAGTATTTCAAAGAACACATTTAAGCCCAATTTACCAGACTTCTAAAACCTATAAAGCATTCCACTGGAACAGTGATCAGAAAAGCATTCCACTGGAACAGTGATCAGAGAATCAATGTAGTGAATTATTTAAAAAACAATAGATGGAACAAAAAATAATAAGTGTACAATATAGACAGTAGAAGTAAACAGTATTTTGAAACTTGTGTTTCAGATACATACTACACACACAGGTATTATGAACTATAATGTAAAGATATCGGGCTAAGTACCTTCACTAGCTTAAAACAAACACAAGAGAAAAGCTGTGAAGATTCAGATCCACAAAATATTGCATTGAAGCTGGTGATGAAAATGGAAAAATCACAAACAGTGGAATCAGAGAAACTCAAACCCCGCCCCTGCTGCTTACTGGTTATGTAACCTTGGAAAAGTTATTCAACCACTGATACTCATTTATAAAACAGCAATCTAACCAGTGGCAGAAATGCTAGTTACCAGTCTAGCCCTGCTGATTTAAAACCATTATATGAACCCAATCTCCCTTCTTTCCCAGGCCATCTCTGGTTGCACAAGAAACTTTTATCATATGAAGCCATTATCTTGGATTTTCTGTTTTATTCAGCTGAATCTAATCCTCACTCACTGGATCACCATGATGAGGACTAAATGACTAAAATTTGTATTACAAATTCCTAGCACAAAGCAGACATTCAAGAATCATGCTATAGGCTGACCATGCCTATAATCCCAGCACTCTTGGAGGCTGAGGTGAGAGAATCACTTGAGTCTAGTTGAGACCATCCTAGGCCACATACACCTTGTGTCTACAAAAAATTTTTTTTAAATGTTTGGAGTGGTCACATGTGCCTGTAGTCCCAGCAACTCAGGAGGCTGAGGTGGGAAGACCACCTAAGCCCAGGAGGTCAAGAGTGCAGTGAGCTGTGAGGTAGAGATTTGTGCTGCTCAGTCTACCTCAACTCAAAAAAAAGAAAAGAAAAGAGATTTGTGCTGTTCAGGCTATCCTTTCTTTGAATAACCGTTCTCTACTGCCAGTCCCTACTAGAAATGATAAAAATCTCTTACGTGTTAATTTAACCAAGAGTATTTTCAGAATTATGATATACTCTTTAAATAAAGACATAACATACAACAAAACCAGAACTCCAAATCACTGGTAAAAGCAGGGGCTGTAAAGCACCACCTAATCCTTTTTTCCTCTGAAAGAATGCCTATGCTTTCTATAGTCCATTTTATGAAGCAAATACAACGTGAAGATGCTTTGAAAATCTATAGGCCGGGCTCAGTGGCTCAGCCTGTAATCCCACCACTTTGAAGAACAAGGCAAGTGGAATGCCTGAGCCCGCGGGTTCGAGACCCACCTGGGCAACTTGGCAAGACCTCATCTCTACAATGAATCCAAAAAATTAGCCGGGCATGGTAGCACACACCTGCTGTTCTGGCTACTTGGAAGGCTGAGGCAGAAGGATCACTGAAGCCCAGCAGGTCAAGGCTGCGATGGCCGGGAGTGTGCCACTGCACTCCAGCCTGGGCAACGGAGTGAGACTCCAACTCAAAAAAAAAAAAACTATACTTATAAACAAAACATTTCAGCCCTCAGCATCTGATCAAAACTTCTCATATTCAACAGTCATACATACCTTCATCCAAATAGGAATCTGCTAGACTTCCTCCTAGCTTCTTGATAATATGAATTGCCTCGAGATTACCAGAGCCTTTCAGTCTGAGAACAGCTTCTACAGCTAACTTAGTAAAGTGATCTTTGTGATGAGTAAGAAGTTTTGATGATAATGTTGTTGCCGCAATATTCATTAAATCTTGACGGAATTTAACTTCATCAGAACTAAATAAAACCAACCAAACACACAAAAAAAACTTGTGTCTGTTCTTAATATGCTTACCCAAAGATATTAACCATACTTTTACTCTACAAGATTTATCCAGACATTCATGTCACTAGGTCTTTTTACCCTAATCAGTCACGTCTCTAAGTCACATGAAAATATATTACTTTCCCCACCAAACTGGCAAACTGCCCCACCCCCCAAAAAAGGCAGGGGACAACACACACACACAAAATCGTATGTTGTCAAGGAAATAAGCATTGTTATACTGCTAGTGGGGTATAAATAAATGTTTTCAGATGCTTATTTGATAATGTGCAAAAAAGTACCTTGGACACATACTTACTTGTGGACCCAATTACACTCCTAGAAACATTTTTTTAAGTTTATCACAACATTGTTATAAAGCTAAAACCTCTCAAATATACAAATCTCCACTTATTAATAGTAAATAGTAACACCCCTTCCCAGTGACAATAAATAAGTAAATAGTAAATAGTTTACTAAATAATATTTAGTAAATAAGTTACTAAATAGATTTATTTAGTAACTAGGCTAAATAAGTCACTCTAATCATACTCAAATGCCTAACTCTATTAAAACTAACTGCAGAAAAAATCAACATCCAGAAATGTATTTATTTAAATTGATTCAAAAGAGGCTAACAAACTCTCTACACAAATGATACCATTTGTTTTGTTTGCATGTTTATTTTGATTATATACGCAAAAAGACTGAAAACACAAAGTCTCCAGATAACCATTAAATGGCTATCTCTGAAAGATGATGTGGGTTTGTTCGGGGGAGGGGGTGAGACAGCAGGATCATGCTTGTACATGCTTTTCCATGTTCCCTAGATGTCTTGCATGAAGCACATTATGAAAAAATGTCAAATGTCTACAACAGTAGTACTTTGGTATACCAACCCATGATCAACTGCAGAACTCAAAAGAGCCTCTCTTGCAGCCTTTGTGGCTTCTCTCCAACCCGCAATGATGGTCTGTGGATGAATCTTTTTCGCAATTAAAGATTCTGCTTCCTATCAATAAACAGTTATAAAAACAAAATTAAAAGTACTCATCAACAGAAAACATGTAGGAAGAGCTTGGTTACTTCTAATAATCAAAACCACAGCAGCCAAAAAAAAAAAAAACAAAACAAGGTTTGCGTTTACTCAGTTGTTCTTACCCTTAGTAATTCTGCTGCCAAAACAGTAACAGAGGTAGTGCCATCACCAACTTCATCATCTTGAACCCTGGACATATCTAGAAAAAGAAATTATTCACTAAAAATTATTTCTCATATCTTACTAAGTTCTTCAAAAATACCCATTACCCATCTAAACCTCACTTATCTAGGTTCCTCATCTGACAAATACTTTGGAACTTTTAAGTATGAAATGCAACAGTTTTTTTTTTTAAACATATTTTTTATTTTAAAACTGTGGGGTACAGTTAAGGGTTAGGTATACAAATATGCATTGTGCAGGTACCCTTGTTGATGAGGTGTGCCCCCCCCGAAATGCAATAGTTTTACCACTAATAATTATGTGTCACACCTGAAGCCTGTATTTTAAAATAACGATAATCAATTAAAAATCAATTAACTGACAGTATAGGTGGTCAACACAGTCTATTAAAAAATTATTTCAAATATTAACAAATATTCAGACTCACCAACTAAAACTTTAGCTGCTGGATTGTCAACACCAATGTTTTTTAGAATAGTGGCACCATCATTGGTTACCATAAGAGAGGCATCTCGTCCACTGCTTAGAAGAATCTTGTCCTAAAGGGAATATATTTGGTTCAAGTTAAGACATATCTTGAAGAATGGGTCAATCAGTATTCTCATATACTACTAGTGTGCAAATGCTCTGGATGGCTATTGTGTGGTAGCTATTCATATGTTTCTACTGCCTACACTCCACAATCAAACCTGGCATTGACCCCTCTAAACACTAGAAGCATAAGGAGACAAACTAGGTTTCGTTTCTGCATTGTAATAGCAAAAAAAAATGGAAACAAACTAGTGTCCATCAATAATTAAACTGCAAAATAATCAAGCTACAGAATACTTCTATGACAGTTAATGAGGTATCTACTTACACTGCAAAAATATAAAGGAACATATCAGTTACATGAAAATATGTAAAAAGAAAAAAATACATAATTTGAAGGGGACCCTCAAAAAACCAGAATTATCTTTTGGAGGGCAGGTCCCTTGTAGTATAGGCTTCCCTTGTAAGTGTTCTAGGAACCCACTAGCATCAGTGTACCAGCTAGTACTGTTGTGAGAGACTATGTTTGGCTTCAATTGATTTTTTTTTTGAGATTTTTTTTTTTTTAATCTTTCGCCCAGACTGGAGTGCAGTGGCACACACGCTCACTGCCACCTCAGCGTCAACCTTCTGGGCTCCAGCGATCTTTCCGCCTCAGTCTTCTGAGTAGCTGGAACAACAGATGTGCGCTACCACGCCCAGCTATTTTTTATTTTACTTTATTTTATTCTAGAGACGAGGTCTCACCAGGTTGCCTGGGCTGGTCTTGAACCCATGGGCTCAGGCAATCCACTCGCCTCGGCCTTCCAAAGTGCTGGGATTACAGGCTGAGCCACCGAACCCGGCTGGAGATTCCTTTAATAAGTTAGATGATTTAAAAGTACACCTGCCCACATGCTGAGTGTTCAGTAGTTTTTGACCAAAAACAGCATAACCCTCGTGCCCAACCCTCCTTATTCACCTGAAAAAAGCATCTCAGTAGGTGTACTGCATCAAATGGACAGTACTTTGAAGGTGACTGAAGCTTAAACATAGGAATACACAACTTTTTATAAACAGTTTTTTGGGGGTCCCCCCTCATACAAAAGGAACCGAAAAACATCAGGAAGATGTACATCCAAATGATAACAGTACTTGTCACTGGGAAGGGATGTGAGACAGGGGATGGTGATCCATGGGTTATTTTTAATAAAGAAAATTTGATTTTTAATAAGGAAAATATTTTCATTGCAGAATTATAATCGAAAGTTGCAAAGATTAAACAGAATTTAGAATGTTTGTTATTAACTATATTTCCACTGAAGACTGTAAAACAATATTAAAATCCATAAAAATTATTTTTCTTACCATGCCCTTGGGTCCCAATGTGCTCTTTACCAAGTCTCCAATGGCAATGGCACCAATAAAAGATGACTGGAGTAAAAAAATCAAGACAAAGTCAACTTTACAGTCTTGGAGAAAAGTACAACTTTATCTTTAAAACAATGCAGAAAACAAGGCTTACCAGGCGAGCTGTCTCTGCTCTCTCTTCATCAGCTCCAGCCTTGAAGATGTTAACCGGAGCCAAAGAAAGGGACGCCTAAAAAAGGAAAATCCAGAAACATTCCGTTGAACATCAACACTTTTTTTTTTGAGTTGGAGTCTCACTCTGTTGCCCAGGCTGGACTGCAGTGACAAGTTCCTGCCCACCGCAGCCTCGACCTGCTGGGCTCAGGCAATCCTTCTGCCTCAGCCTTCCAAGTAGCTGGAATCACAGGCATACGCCACCATGCCCAGCTTATTTTTTGATTTATGGTAGAGACGAGGTCTCACCAAGTTGCCCGGGTGGGTCTCGAACCCCGCGGGCTCAGGCAATCCACTCACCTCGGCCTCCCAAAGTGCTGGCATTACAGGCTGAGCCACCGAGCCCGGCCATCAACACTCTTTAACACATAAACTCAGCAGCCTTCCACTAGTCTTACTAGTAAATACGTAAGAGAAAATTCACATACAACGCAGTGTTTTCAAACTAACGAAGCTTCCGTCCGTTATCGAGACAGGCATTTAAGTAACTGGGAGACACACATAGGAGAGCAACACGGCTTTTTGGATTCACAAGGGGCGCCAGAAACATAACACCTAAGAAACTGACAGTTAAGTATGGCGAGACCAAAGACGACCTTAAACTAAGGATGAGGCCGGCAAGGGTTGAAGGCCACCAGCGGAATGACCGCCGGGGGTGAGGGAAAGCCGCGGCCTCCATCTTCCGGCCTCGGGTGACTCCTTCCCAGGCGCGTCAGGCTCCGCCCCGAAGGCGGAGCCGGCTTGCCACTAGAAATTTCTTCGGTTGGGGTGAAGCCCAGGCCTTGGGGTCCGGACACTTAGAGAGACCGAGTCAGAAAGGGAAGGCGCCCTTACGGCCCAATCCTCCCCAGGCCCGCACAGCGGGCTCTACCGCCTGGTCCGCGGCAGGCCACACGCCGCGCGGCCCATGCCATGGGCAGCAGGCCCGGGCAATCCAACAGGCCCGGGAGACAGACACATGGAGCCTGCGACCCTAGGAAAGCAGAGGGAGCAGCGAGCCGGCAGGGCGCCGCGGGACACGGCGAGGCAGAGGCAGGGGTAGGAGCAGGGGACAGGGGACCGGGCTCACCATGGTTCCGAGGAGTTCGGCACACAAGCTTAATCCCCTCACACCTCACGCCCGGACGCCTGCAGGAAAAAGGAAGCCGGAAATGACATCACACGTCCTCGTGCAGGGGGCGGTGCCCCGTCCCGCGCGCCGCGCCGGCCTGCCCCCTACCGCCTGAGGGGATGCCATTTTGATTGGCGCCCCACGGGCCGGAAACGCTACCTTTCACAATGGAGGGGGCGGGACTCCACTCGGGCTCCGCCCCCTGAGGTGTCGCGGCTTGGGACGAGGAAGGGGCGGGGTTTGACCGATTTGTAGTCCAGCAACCGAAGAACAGGGAGGTGCCGGCCCGCGGGGGTTGTCATAGCAATGACGTTCCTGATCACACTTTTCATTTTTCTTAACTTTAATCTTGAAACATTTGTATTGAAGTCACACATACGAAGTTTAACGTATTATATACTAATAATGAAAGACGTAATTCAACTATCTCATCACTTTCTCTCCCCAGGGGAGCCACGTTCCTTTCTCAATTTGGGGGAGGGTTTTTTTATCATGTTCCTAAATAATATGCTATTGCTATTTTTAATTTTAAGCATTTATTGAGAACTATAGAAAAAGGCTTCCTCTTCTTTCATTGAATTTTGAAACACTGTTTCTAATTGCACGTTGACTGCCCAGAGGACAAGTTCTTGTGAACTGTGGCAGAGACATTTGCCCTGTTTGCTCACTTTCAGGAATTTTTCCATTCCACTCTTTTTTTTCCTCTCCAATAGCAGAGATGACTAATACACTCTTACATAAAATGTTTTGGTAGAGATCAAGATCAATCCACATATTTCAGTTTATAATAAATAAACTTAGCTTTCTACTTTCTCCAAGTCGATAGATGTCTAAAGCCAAATTTTGTTCTCTAAAAAAAGTGGTAGTTTTCTGTCATCCACTCATACCCACTTTTCTCCCTTTGACTAATTGATCACTTAGCAAGCTCCTGGATTTTTTTTTATTTTTATTTGTTAAGAGGGCTGCTTGCTGTGTTGCCAGACTGGCCTCAAACTTCTGGGCTCAAGTGATCCCCCCACCTCAACCACCTGACTAGCAGAGAGCTCCTGGATTTTTGACAGTTGTCAACATCAACAAGTATTTGCAATTTTTAGTTGTTTCTACCCCTTAGATACACTCAAAGTGGATTGATTTACAGCCTGGACTGTCAAGCTGTGAGGAGTCAAATCCAGCCTGCTCTTTTTGTATAGCCCCAGAGCTAAAAATGGTTCTTACATTTTCAAGTAGTTGAAAAAATAAAAAGAATATTTTCTAACACATGAAAATTCTGTGAAATTCATATTTTAGTGTCCATAAAGCTTTGTGGGAACATAGGCATATCCCATTTTTTTTTTTTTTTTTTTTTTGAGTTGGAGTCTCACTCTGTCGCCCAGACTGGAGTGCAGTAGCTGCTTCCGGCCATCGCAGCCTCGACCTGCTGGGCTCCGGCGATCCTTCCTACTCAGCCTTCCGAGTAGCAGAATTATAGGCGCGTTACCATGCCCGGCTAATTTTTTGATTTATTGTAGAGATGAGATCTCGCCTGCCCAGGCAGGTCTCGAACCCACGGGCTCAGGCAATCCACTCACCTCAGCTCCCAAAGGCACGGGATTACAGGCTGGAGCCACTGAGCCCAGCTACCCATTTGTTTCTACTCTGTCACAAGACAATAGCAGGGTTATGCAATGGCAGTTAAGTAGTTAATGACAGGGATTGTATGGGCCCATAAAACCTAAAATTATTATCTAATTTTTATTCTTTAGTTTTTTTTGTCTTTCTTTTTAGACAGAGTCTGGCTCTGTCACCTAGATGGAGTACAGTAGTGTGATCACAGCTCACTGCATCACTGTAGCCTTGAACTCCTGGGCTCAAGTGATCCTCCCATCTCAGCCTCCCAAGTAGCTGGGACTATAAGCGTACACCACACCTGGCTAATTTTTAAATTTTTTGTAGTGATGGAGTCTTACTGTGTTGCCCAGTCTGGTCTCAAACTTGTGGCCTCAAGCAACCTCCTGCCTGGGCCTCCCTAAGTGCTGGGATTACTTATTATCTGATTCATTATAAAAATGTTTGCAGGCCCTGGTTTACATTGTTCCTAAGGTCCAACATGAATAGGAATGTTCAGGCTGAACAAATTGTTATTCTAAATCTACCAGTTTTCTGTTCTTTGTGAGAAAACTTGCTCTTCTTTCAGTAAATGTACTTGAATTGGCAGACCCCAAATCATATTCAGGAATGAGAAGTCACAACAAAATTGGGATGTCTGCACAATGTTGAAAAAAACTTGTTCTTATTGTTGGGCAAAATTGCATACCTGAAGATATGTATTATGTTCTTTGGCAGGCAAGCCTGAGACTGTGGGTGATAGAAATCAATGCCCTCTTAGAGGCTTTGGAGGTGTGGGTGAACATAGCCAGAGGCATTTGGATGGGGACAGGGAAGCAGGCCCTGCCACATTGTGGGGGTGAAGCTAGAAGCAGCCTGGAGGAGACCCCTATGATGGGACCCTTGGAAATATGTCCTTTCTCCATTTCATGTTTTAACCCTTCCTCCTTTCCTTCCTGTCCCTTCTTTAATGCCACGCTTACAACCTAGACACTAAACAGTTTCTGGGCCCAGGCTTCATGAGTTCGAATTTCAACTCTTTTATGAACAGTACTAGTTTGGTAATCTTGGATTCCATTGGCTCTTCAAGTCAATCCAGAGAAGGCCATTTTAGAGAGAGAGCCATTTGCGGGCTTACCAAAAACATGTCTCTTTTAGCTCTTTATAAATTGTATAGCAGTTTGTATTAGATAGGTCACAGGAAAAAACAAAACAAACAAAACAAAACAAAAAGGTCACAGGGTCCAAGGAGGTAGTGAGACTGTGGGAATTCATGTTTCTGTGCTATTTAGACTTGCTCCCTTCCTTATCTCCTTTACCCTCTGCCACTTGGTCTCACCTTTTTTAGCTAACCTCCCCCTGACTCACAGTCTTTGCGGCCCTCTCTCTCTGTGACCCTGTCTCCTCCTCGCTCTTCTCCTTGATATGAATTGGCTTTCAGGGAGTTGGCTAATTGGCCAGCTTCCACCTATGTCACCACTCTGTGCCTCAATTTCTTGGTGTGTAAAATGGAGATTAACATTAGTACCTATCTCACAGAACTGTCACAGAGATTACATGCTGAGAACAGTGCCTTGCCTACCATAAGCACTCAGTTTAGCTTAGCTATTGTTATCATTATTCTATCCTCAGCCTTCCAATACTCTTTGCTAAGCGTTGATCCAAGGTTAGGTTTGCCTAGCATGATGTGGAACTGGGAAAGCATTGTCAAATGACGTTATCTGATGGCTAGTGGTGATTTAGGGGCAAGGGTGGAGTCATCTGGAGTGAAATAACTAGCTCAAGGAGCAAACAACAAGCAGAACAGAGTTATGGTATTGTCAACATTCTTCAAGAACACTCAGAATACCCAGGGAGGAAACCAGATAAAGGACCGGAGTCCATAATCATCCAGAATTAGGGACCATCCAGACTCCTACCATTTGGGTAGTAGTGAGGTTGGCAAACTTGGTAATATTTATGTTGCTGCAGACCAGAGACAAAGTTTGCAGACAAGAATCAGTCTGTGGACCACATTTAGAGTAGCACTCCTTTTGGGCTTTGCACACGTCACCAATCTTTCTGAATCAGGGGAGTTATCTCAGCAATAAAGATACGACAAGATCATACTTACATCTTACAAGAGAATCACCAAAAAGAAAGAAAAGGAAGGGGTAAAGATGACTCCTTGCTACTTGGGTCAAGTGTGTAGAATGAGAAACTGCATTTCAGAACATGGCCTCTGCAGAAAAATGCCCGGGTTCGGAGTCCTGGCTCTAAATTACAGGGTGGGACCTGGAACAAGTTATTTAACCAAAATGAGGATAATTGAAACTATCTCCTATGGTTATCCTAATGTTGAAAGCATTAATATATGAACAGTGCCTAGCACATAGGCACTATATAAATGTTGTATCTGGCTTTTATTACGTCTGTACACAAGAAACGATGAATGTGAGCAAGGGAGAGAGGGAGGTAAGGTAGAAATACCTAGCTTCCTATTCTGTACTAGTCCAGGCTAGTTCGAGTGGAACTTTGTGTGGGAGATATAATGAAACAGGATATTCTGTAGGGCTGTCGTTCATATTGTCCTTTAAAAATTGTCTTTAAAAAAAGCACTCAGCTTTGCTACTGGGGAAATTGCTGCTGGTAGAAACCCCAACACTATCCATCCATCCAACCCTCTACTGGACATCTCCATGTGGATGACCCACAGACCATGAACTAAGCCCCCAGTGGAACCTACCATCTTTCTCCCCAAAACTATATCCCCCAAGTGTATTTTCAATCTCAGTGAACTGTCAGCATCAACTCTCTAGTTACCCGAGCAAGAAAACTGGGTCATCCTTGGCTCCTCCGTTTGTCATTCCCCTTACCAGTCAGAAGTTATTCCTTCTCCTTGAGGCACTCTGTCACATTGGTGGCCCTGAAAAAAAACTGCACCTTTGGTGTCTACACCTTTGCATAATTCCGTCCTTGAATCTGGGCGGGATTTTATAGAATACAGCATAATTGATATTGTGCCAGTTTTGGGCTTAGGCCTCAAAAAACTTGGCAGCTTCTACTTTTCTGTTCTTGGGACCCCTAAGCTGCCATATAAGAAAATCACATGAAGAAAGAAAACTAAGGAACCCAGTCGGCAGCTAGAACTGAAGTTCCAGACATGACCCACTCAACTACTCCAGCCAGTTTCCAGCTGTTTGAACCCCACTAGCTGAGGCACAAAGCATGTACATGAAGAAGGCAGCCCTCCAGACATCATGAGATGAGCCATCCCTGCTGTGCCCTGCCCACCCTAACCTATAGCAATGTGAGAAATAAATGATCACTGCTTTAAGCCACCAAGTTATACGGTGGTTTGTTGCACAGCAATAATCCTTTAACAAGTAATCCTTTAACAAAGCCTTTGAATGGGCATTTTTCAGATCTTACTCCATCTCTGAAAAGGCCCCTTCGCTAGTCTCCCTGCTTTTTTACAATGTCTTGCCCCTCAG